AGGGAGGGGAGGGGAAAGAGGAGAGGGGGAGGAGAAAAGGAGAGAGAGGAGAGAGAGAGAGAAAGGAGAGAGAGAGGAGAGAGAGAGGGGAGAGAGAGAGGAGAGAGAGAGAGAGAGAAAGAGAGAGAGAGAGAGAGAGAGAGAGATCTTTTTCTTGGAGGGGGCTGGGTTTCCTTGAACATGAACCACCTGTTGTTTGTGATGTCAGATGCTACTATGTCAGGCTCTGGCTTTGGCTCATAGGCTACATTTTCAGGATGTCACCCAATAGCTAAAGGCCCTGAGGATGGCTCTCAAGTGTTGTGAGAGCTGCTCCCATAGGCTAAAACACTTGCCTATGGCACCAAGTGTAAGTGGTATATGTTTAACCAAGATCAGAGTAGGTTAGAGGAAGTTAAACAAAACAAATCTTATTCTTCAATCAGAAAAATGAACCTGGGGGTTAAATATAAACAGGGAGACACAGAAGTTAGACTGGCAATAAAAGGTAGTTTCAAACTGCAGAATGTTAATAACAACAGCAATAAAAAAAAAATCACGTTAACACTCCTGTAGGGTGGGCATGAAATCTCAGCCAGAAAAGGCCTTTGGTGCTTAGACTAACAACCTGAGTTCCATCCCAAGATCCACAGGATAGAAGAAAGCAAATTTCTGCAAGCTGTCCTCTGACCTCTACATGCGCCCCGATCATGGCACAGGTCTGCCACACACTTCCATCCCCCTGCCCCATCCACCTATTTTGAAACTGAGAAAGTCCCCACACAGGAAGATGGTGTTTCTTATAGGGTATCCCTGCTGGTAATCCTCCAGTCGGTACACATGTTCATTCAGTCTAAAACATTGCTTTTTCAAGCATTAGTCATTGGCACAGGGAGCTTGGGATTGGTCCCAAGTTTTGCGCATTTTATTTCTTCTAAGCTCATGAAAAAGGCATCCTTACTGCAGTGTTATCCACCCATGCTGGCACTCCAAAGGAATTTTACCTGGCAGTTTACTGAAGCCATACCATAAACCCTCAGTACTTCAATAGCACTCACATGCAGTGGAAGCAATCTTATTCACTCTGGCACACTGTTCTGTTTTCTCTCAGGCTGAGAAACACAACCACAGAAACACGGTGAACAAAAGAGAATTAAGAGGAACCCTGTCCTCAGTGATACCAGCACCAACCGGTTTACATCAAGCAAGATCCTACCCACACAGCACACACATCCTGCTTTTCCTGGTTGGAAAAGATTAAAGAACTGGAAATGTGCAGACATACCCTCCTGACTCAACAGGGTCCTGATTTAATGTAATAAATAAAAATTTCAATGCAAGAATAAAAGTTAAAGCTTACAGTTTTATACAACTCACTCCAAACTAAAAGTTAAGAAAGAATTCCCATAGCTGATCAAAGCAGAAGCAGGTGCCCAGAGCTAAACACTGAGCCATACTCCTGGAATCCAGTTGTAGAGAGTGGGGAGAGATGAGCAAAGGAGCCAAGACCGTGCTGGAGAAACCAGCATAAACAGATGACCTGACCTTGTGAGAGCACAGAGACCCTAGTTGTAAAGCTTGGGAACCAGCATTAGGACCGAACCAAGCCCCCTGAATGTGGGTGGCAGCTAGGAGGCCTAGGCAGTCTATGGGATCTCTAACAGTGGAGCCAGTGTTTATCCCTAGTGCATAAATGGACTTTGGGAGCCCATTCCCTATGGAGGGATACTATTGCAGCCTAGGCCCTCCCCCAAATGATGTGGCAGACTTTGATGATCCCCTGTGGAAGGCCTCACTATCCTTGGGGAGTGGGTGGGGCATGGGTTGAGGGGGTCAGTGGGGCCATGGGAGAATGGGAGGGTAAGGGAATGGGAAATGTAGTAAAGAGAAGTCTTGTGATCCAGGCAGGAAGTGACATAGCAGACAAACTCAGAATATAAGCAGGGACAAGCAAGAAATCACTCTCTTCCTCCTCCTCCTCCTCCTCCTCATCCTCCTCCTCCTCCTCCTCCTCTCGTCTCAGTGGAGCCACAATGTGATCCCAGCAAGAAAAGATGCCTGCCACCAGTATCCAGGATAAGTCTTTATAAAATATACAGATTAATGTTTATGGTTGATAGTTAAGACTGAGCTAGCAAGTAAGAAATCCTAGTCATTGGCCAGCAGCATTGTACATAAAATCTCTGTTTGTTATTTTGGGTGCCCATGTGGCAGCGTGGCTCAGGCAGCTTGGTGGAAAGATTTATCCTTACACTCTTCAGAATCCATGGTGGGATTAAAATGTTACTTATTGTTTTCAAATTACCCCCACCAGATCAAAAGTTCTGCACCTCTCCCTTGATGTTTTCATCTATGATAAACTTTTGGGCATCTGGTAAACATAGTATATGTTCTTGTATCCAGAAAAGCTTACATGTCTGAGGTAAAATGTACATTTAAGAGGTAAAGTATACAGTAACATTATGTAAACCCGACGGATGTGGCTTAACTAAAGGGCTGCTTCAATGGAGTCTGCTGAGAGCAAGGAACGATGCCTCGCTCTCCCACATCTGAGATGGCCAAGGGCCCCAGTTGACATTTCTCTTGGGTCAGTGCCTCCCTGCATGGACTGTAGAGAGGTGTGAGATTTTTCCACCTGCAGCATGCCTCCTAGCCTGAAACCCATCTAGCAACTGCCACTGAACATTCCCAAGGTCTTCTCCAGCCCAGCAAACAGCTTCATCCTGGGCAAGTGTGGACAGAATCCTACAGTCCTGTCACCACAGTTATCCAGGTTATCGGTCAAAGCCCAGCCTCTGGGTCTGTTACGATAAATCTTTCTGTCACCCACTTGAGTTCTGCCAGCCACGTGGATGGACAAAATAATACATAGAGACTTATATTATGTACAAATGCTGCTTGGCCAATGGCTAGGATTTCTCATCTGCTGGCTCCGTCTTAATTGTCATAAATCTATATATTTTATAAGACTTACCTTATAGAGGATGCCTTCCACTGGTGCCCTTTCTTGCAGGTGGATCACATGGCGACTCTGGAGGAAGCGAGAAGGGGGCCCACTTCCTTCTTCCCTTGTTTATGTATTAGTCTCCTTGCTATGTCATTTCCTGCCTGGATCATCACTTCTCTACTACATTTCCCAGAATCCTCCTTGACTCCTAGTCCTGCCTAACTTGCTGCCTCATTGGCCAAACAGTACTTTATTCAACAATCAATAAACTGAACACACACAGAAGTACTTTCCCCACCACGTGTCCTATGCTGTTATCCTCATCAGCTAAGCAACACTCCCGGACCCCTGGAAGGCCTCTCTCGTACTCCTACTGTGGCCCCAGAAACTGAAGCAGGAAGCATCTCTCTGCAGGCTGCTCCTCCATCGGCACCCAGTTTCCCTTCAGCAGAACAAGCCTTCCTCAGTCAATATCTGAAACAACATGGGCCCCGGTTCCAGCTTATTCTCCCTCTAAGGAGGTCCAGAACATAGAATGGACTCACTTTGATGCATGTGCACATGTGCATTTGGGTTCACACACATATGTGTCCATGCACGTGTGAAGACCAGAGGACATGCTTGCTGGCTTTCCTCAGGTACCGTCTACCTTGTTTTTTGGGACAATGTCTCTCACCAGACCCGGTACTTCCTGATTTGACCAGGGAGCCTCTTGTCTCTGCCTCTGCATTTGGAATTTCAAACCTGCAACCCCCCCCCCACCAGCTTTGTTCACAGAGGCTCTAGGGACTAAAGTGGAGTCTTTCTGGGTCCAAGGCAAGCACTTTAATGACTGAGCTGTTTCCAGGTCCAAACAGATGACTTTTCATGAAGTTTTCTCAATGTGTTCAATATTTGTGACCACACGGCATCTAATACCTCACTCTAGAAGACAATGCTACCCTCCCACGAGTAACAGGTCCACAGTGGTGAGCATTCACTGATCAAAGGCCTGGCTCTCCTGGCCATTACCCTGCTACCCTCCTTGTAACACATAAGTCACCCCTACACTGCTCTCAGGCCAGATTCCCACCTGGGCCCCCTCCTCCAGGGGCAGCAACCCATCCCAGAAGGCAGACTATTAAGAAACCCACTGCTCCTTCTCTGCTTTCTCCACAGATCTCCTCCATCTTTGGCTCCCTCCCTCTGCCTGCCTCCCTAAAATCCAATGCCTCTTATCTCACCTTCCCCAAAGACTAAGCATTCTTACCCAGAGCCCTCACTCCTTACCCAGAGTCCTCCTCACTCCTAGCAGGTGATCCCATTTCCTCCAGGCCCCAATTCATTGCTCTGGAGAACAGCAAACATCCCAAAGTACAGCAATACCTCACAGGCAGTGACCCACCTACCTCAGGTGCCTCAGGCAGGGTTAGAAGACTGCCCTGGCCTGTGAAGGTGACAGAGGAGTGGTCTCCAGACACAGGACACCCCAGGAGGTAGCACTCTCTGCAAAGTCCAATCTTCTTATTGCCACAGTGCACTATCTACAAGTGCTCCTACTGCCACACATGTGTGACATACCAGGCTGTCTAAGAAACCTTCTTCATGGTCCAGGAGGTCGTGCCACTCAACCTGATTCTTTCACAGTAGGAAATGCCAGGGCCTTTCTTACTCAGGCATGCTTGTGGACAGCCCAGGAGGGCCAACATCAGACACATCTCTAAACTGTTCTAGCCACAAGCACTCCTCTCTATAGTGTATTTCTTCTTGTGTAGGGACCCTTGGCCTGACTCACCACAGGGTTCAGTAATGATCTGACTGTCATCCTATGCCTCAAGACATTTAGAACATCTTCTAAACTTCATCTCAGACTGTGGATAATTTATATTAAGCACCATCCCCAGAAATACCTACTACAAAGACAAAGCCAATCGAACTAAGTAAAACCCCACATCATATGCTAGAGAAAGATGGCAGATCTCTGTTGTAGAATATTAGTTAAAGATGTGTTACATTTTTTATGCTGTGAAATTATCTGTTTAATGATGCAAACATATGTTGTGTTTATTTAACTCTGTAAAGCTTGTCTAACTTGGCCTGTCTAAAACACCTCATTGGTTTAATAAAGAGCCGAATGGCCAAAAGCTAGGCAGGAAAGGGACAGGTAAGGCTTCCAGGCAAAGGGTACAAATAGGAAAAGGGAGAAGAAAGGAGGAAAAAGAAAGGAAGGAGAAGAGGGCTCCAGGGGCCAGCCAGCCAGCTACACAGCCAGCCACAGAGTAAGAAGTAAAGAAAGGTATATAGAAAGGTAAAAGCCCAAAGGCAAAAGGTAGATGGGTAATTTAAGTTAAGAAAAGCTGACTAGAAATAAGCCAAGCTAAGCCTGGGCATTCATCAGAAAGAGTAAATCTCCGCATGATTGTTTGGGAACTGAGTGGTGGGTCCCCCAAAGAGTAAAAGCAAAAACCAACCAGCTACAGGTCTCTTTGGAAGCACCAACACCACAAACACAAGGAAACACAGGGGTGGCTTTTAGAGGTTGCTAATGCCAGGGCACAAACCGTTTCCATGAGTGGAGCCCAAAGCTGTGGATGAGTGTGATGGCATTGGAGAGTGCCCATGAGGGCAGAGACCTGTGGACATTCCTCCCATCTCATCAGCTGAGAGGTTAGGGTTAGAGTTCTGTCATTTGAGACAGCACCAAGGATGTCCCTCTGTTAGTCACACAAATAAGCCAGTTCAGTCTGAAGAAATCTCCAAACTGGTTTCTCAAAACCTTCTAATTGAAAGTCATTGGTTGAGCAAGGCACATCAGCACACACCTGTTAACTCCAGCTATTTAAAATGCAGAGATGAAAGGGTCAGGTGAGCCTAAGAGTCCCAGCCAGACATGACAGCACAGTGAGACCCTTCACTACCATCATCAAATAATAATAATAATAATAATAATAATAATAATAATAATAATAATAATTTTAAAACTTGTTAAGACATTAAGATGGGAAGAGAGCTGGTAGTGTCCACAGTTGCAAGTAGGCACTGGGTTTCTTTCTGCGAATGTGCTCAGTGCCGATGAATGTCTCTCTGTTTTACTGCTCACTTGATGTGAATTTCATCTAAACATGAAAGAAAAGAAAAAAACACAACAAAGAAAACAGATAACAACAAAAGCTGCTTCCACTTCTGGTCCTTGAGTCAGAGACCTCCATCTCCAGCCTCTCCATCAAAGTTGAGCAGACTAAGATTTTTAAAAGAGTGACCTTTAATTCGGTTTCCCAGGGTACTTTCTGAGCCTCACCGTACCAAATTTTTCCTAGTGCATATTTTCTTATCTTCTTTTAAGTTTTTAATGAGTATGGATGGGTATTTTACCTTTGTGCATTTATGTGCAACACATGTATGCCTGGTGCCTGTGGAAGCCAAAAGAGGGCCTCAGATCTCCTGGCACTGGGGTTACAAATGGTTGTTAGACTCTGTTTGGGTGCAGGGAATTGAACCCTGTTCCCCTGGAGGAGCAGCTAGTGCTCTAACCACTAAACCATCCTTCCAGCCCCCTACTAATGCATAATTTCACAATCTGCTATTTTAATGGTATTAAATTTTAGTTGTCATATTTCTTATATGTAAAGAAACTCCTTCTAAAAACATGTTCAGTATAATATTAGTTGCCCTTGTTTCTTGTAAACACCTGTAATTTAACAAATATATCAGAACATAAGAAATATTTGCATCAGGATAAAGTATATTTTAAATATATGTTCAAATAATATATTGATAAAGGCACAAAGCAAAACTTTCTAGAAGTAGATAGGCAGAATATATTTCATAAAATTGTGCATATTTTCTACCCACACACAATGGGCACAATGGGCAAAGAAGACATTGCAGAGAGAGGCCTCCACTCCATTTCTGCAAAGTTTCTGTCTCTTTCCTCCAGTTGTAGCCTCTCTATAAACAGACACAAAACCATTGTCTAATTAATTTCCTGATTTTGGTCAACACTGTGGCAAAGACACTGTTATAACAGTAAATCCCACAACCGTGTGATATTTAGGCAGATGTTGACAACCAGAAAGCCAAACGTGTCCACACGTCTGAGGAGAGGCAGCCTCTTCCCTTCCTGGCAGAAAACAGAGGGTTGATGTGAGTGCTGCCATTTTGTCTCGCTCTGAGTGAAAGACTGTCTGGAGACATTAGAAGGTTTTCCCAGGCCCAGCCCACAGCACCACAGCATGTGGGGATGTCCCACAATGCAATGCTGTTTTCCAGCCTGCCCATGTAAAGTCTGAAAACCCAGATGTCCCTGACAGCTGTGGATGAACATTTCCATGCTTGCACAAACCCAAAAAACACAAAGATCCATGTGGACATCAGAGCAGGGTGTGGTCGTGTAGGAGAGAATTAAAGGACTGTAATGCTACCCAGGTGTCTCCAACTTCCAGGCAGGGTGTTTCTGAAAGGTAATTTGGTCACCAGGGAAACCCAGATGAGGAAGTGCTTCTTTTGGTACATCCAGCCACTCAGCCCTGTGCTGAGAGCATTTGTCCCACTAGCCAACCTCCCATCTTGTGAGACTTTCTGTAACTGACCACTGTGACAACTCAGGGCAAGGCTAGATGCGCACCAGGGTTTACTGCAGCTCTGCCACACTCCAGTGCCCCATACAAATCACTTTTATGCCACCACTTTTCCTCTACTCTAATTTAGAAACAGGAAATTGAAGCCTGGGGCTGTGCCACGCACAAGGTTCTGGGTTCTGATACTGAGGCAAGCATCCCAAACCTGGCTGAAGGCACAGATACACATTCACGCAGTCTGTCTGTGTCCTAAGACTCAGTGGTTCAGTTTCCTCTTTCTTAAAAGAACTTTACAACACCCTGTGAGAATCAAAGTGGAAATATAATTCCATCAAAGCAGCATGCTGGGGCATGAATAGTAAGACCTGAGTTAGGGAAACCTATACTAATAATATGGTAGGCATAAGTGTGGCAGGTTTCAGTTTCACTCACTGTGGCAGCATCAGGTGCCTGAGGTACAAGGCAAGGACACAGAGACTGGCAGAGCTGGGACAGACATAAAGAGGGCAGCATAGCTATGCGTTTATATTAGA